TAAAAATATCTTGGCACATGGCATACGAGTAATACGGGACTTGAAAATCTCTCGTACAAGATATACATATTTATTTTCTTTTCGCTTAATATTATCTCCACTCGTTTAAAAGTCAATCTCTAAGATACAAACGTTAAATATATTAATTTAATCAAATGATTTAATTAAACACAATTCCCAATTAAATATCCTTTTTAAACCGGATCTCATAATCGAAGAGATGCGTTAAAGTTTTTATTGAACGTTCGTCGACAATCTTGAGATTTATATTACTGTGAAAATTACTAACAGAAAATTATTATACCGAGATAGCTTCTAGGATCGGCCTAGAAGAAGACGGGAAACATTAAGATACAGTAACGGGAAAATCTAAGCGCGCGCGTATCTTCGTATAACAAAGAGAAGAAAGGGTGGGATAAGTAAAAGAAAGAAGAGGAAGAAATAGAAAAAAGTATGTCGGTTCCAGTAGGCCGAGCAGGTTAAAACTTTCTTCCGTGAAAACTTAATACCTTAATACACTAGCTAATTATATCCTTTTGCAAGCATACACAGATAAACACAGACATATAGATACAATTTACCGGAGCCACGAACTACACCCGTACGTTCTACATTCGCTCGATCACGAAACGAAAGACACTAAACAGTCGCTCTCTCTCTCTCTCTCTCTCTCTCTCTCTCTCTCTCATTCTCTTGTTTCGAGAATACGGAAACTAATCATCGTAAGCGAAAGTCGTTCAACGAATAACCGTTTGGCATGGCCTAACACGAGGCAAATGTTCGGCTCGAATGAATATTTTCGAGATTGCACGTATTTTAGGCGAGGAAAAGTTTTCTTTCTTTGAATTATCACTAAACTTCTTAACCGAATCTTATATCCTCATAAATATTATACCAACTAAAATGGCCAAGAAACAAGATCTTTTCGTGACGGCGGAAATATACGTTTATCTAAATACACATCGTGTAACATATCGTGGATCATTAAAATTCTAATCGAAATATTAAAATAAGTTATCAGAAAACCTTGAAAAAGTTAACAAGTAGTTTTGATAAATTTAATGCTCGTTAGATGATTAACTCGTTGTTAACGTTTAACATTTATTATTTTAATTGTATTAATTTATGAAATAATTATATTACACTGTTACTACGTTTCGATCTAACGTTTGCTACATAATGTTGGCGAGTATCGAAAGCATAAGAAAAAACAGGAACAAGGTTTTATGGGTTTTTGACCGACTGTGAACTACACATATGAGCTAGCTAAACTGCATGGACTTAACGGGAGACAAAAGATTTTCTCTATAGTTGAAGCTCCGTTGTCCCTTCTTCATGTTGGATCGACGACGAAGAAGAGGCTTCTAAGACCGAGCTATCATCGTCCCGTCCCGTCCCATCCCGTTGCTAGCTATAAACTTCTCTCTTTTTTTTTTCTTTCTCTCTCTCTCTCTCTCTCTCTCTCTCTCTCTCTCTCTATCCCTCCCTCCTTCTGTCCCGCTCTTTTTCCGTGGTTACACGAGACCGTTACATTTTATTATTTCCTAGCGAATATTCTACAGACTTTAAGAGGCTTCCACTGGTAGAACAAATTAACAAGAAAAAGAAAAAGCTAACTCTTTAGCGACCTCTTTCGTATAAGATCTTTCGCATAAAGAAGCGATTTTATGAGTTAAAGAGGTAAGGAAAGAGGAAGGAGGAAAAAAAAAGGAAGAAAAGAAAAGAGAAAAACGATGATCAACAAAGAGACTAATTAACGTTTCGTTGCATTTTCTTCCAGCACTCAAACCACAGTCATCGTCTCTTTAGAAAGCGTAGACTTTAGAAGTGATCATTACATAACAATCATTTGTTGTATCCACGCCTTAACCAAGGACAAGCACGATCAACGAAACTATTCTTCCCTTTCTTCTCTCGTACACATTACTCCGATAGCACTCGATAAACATTACGAATATTTATTAATGATTATTTTACGATGGCAATTATAAGGCAATTTGTCGGCGTATCAAAGAAAAACTCGATAAAAGTTCATTTCCAATTTTTTTTTCTTTTTTTTTTTTACTTTTTTCTTCGGCTTCTTTCACCAATAATAAATATTTTCCACTGATAATAAATATGTAAGTACTTTGGACTTTACTTAGTCGATTTATCTCGCGCTACGACTACTTATCCGACTACCCTACCTACCTTTTTATATTTAGAATCAATAAGAGGGAGAGGGAGAGGGGGAGAAGGGATAAAACAACGAAGAAGAAATAGAATATTTTCTCTTTAAAAGTTTCGAACGACGTCACGTGCAAATGAAATTATTAAACACGATCGACTTATCTCCAAGATTGATTTATCTTGTAGTTCATAAACAATCGAAAAGTTTTTATTATTGATCGATATACCAATAGTAGATATACACATACAAAAATATCTTTCTAATTGATTTTCGTCGACAGCCGAACACAACACCGAGGCCCTTTAACTTGTAAATCACATCATCGAACGTTACATACACATACACAGCCGATGTCCGGCTTTAATCGATCCACGTTCACGTCATTAAAACTGCTTTCTCGCTCGAGAGGGCTAACAACGACTCAAAGAAATACATTTTTCGAATATCGTAATCTATTTTTTTTTTTTTTTTAATGAAAACCATTACAACTTTGCATAACATTCGATCGTATTTATTTAAATAATATGCTGAGTAATTAAGTACAGGTAATATTTGCATGGAACATAAACGTAGCATACATACATATATATACATATATATATATATATATATATATATATATATATATATGGGCGTACGTGTGTTGTGTGCGTGCGTGTGTGTGCAGAAAACTAACGCGTCTCGTAAATGCAGTTAGAAAATATCAACTCGTTTATCTAGTATTTGTTGGCCTACGATAAATCATTAACCGAAGATAAAAATCCATGGAAGTAGTACTTTGTTTACTTTTCCCCGTGAGTATCTTATACCAAAAGAAAACATAAGATTAAGGAATGAAAGACAAAAGAAAAAAGATAATGTAAAAAAGAAAGAAAGAAAGAAAGAAAGAAAGAAAGAAAAAAAAGGAAGAAAAAAAATTTACCTCTGCAGGGCCAACTTGATGTCGAAAGTAATGGTGGTACCGGTATCCACGTGAAATATGTAGAGCATCTTCGTGCCGTTCGCTCGAGAGCGAAATGAGACCCTTTCCTCTCTCGTTCAGGCTACCTCACCGATTTCGAGAAACTCGAAGCATCCGTACTTTGCGCTTAGCAATGGTCGCTTGAAAAATGGCAGCCGCCCTCTCTCTCTCTCTCTCTCTTTCTCTCTCTTTCTCTCTCTCTCTTCTTCGTCTTTTCGACAAAGAGAGGAAAGGATAGGGAGGGGAAAAAAAAAGAGAGAGAGAAGAAGAAAAACGCCGTTCTTCGCTCTATCCCTCGGCGTCACCTCGAGGGATTCCACTCCTATAGTCAGCTCGATCGGGGCCGTACCCCAGGTTTCTCGAAGCTCGCGAGTACGGCCCCGGTTTCACTATGCCGCATCGATCGCCGAGACGATCCCGTTGCTCCTTGAGGATGATGACGATGATGACGTTGATGATGACGATGACGAGGACGATGACGAGGACGAGGAAGATCTCGTTTTATTACGACGATCTCGATGTACGCTGTTGTTCCTTCTTCTCTGTGAGCTACCTCGCGTACGACGTCTGATCACGTCGTAGATCATTCAGAGAACACGATTGCCTCTCGAACGGGCTCGATTTCTCTGCCGAACGATTATTTATTTACTTCTCTTTTTCTTTCTTTTCTTGTTTTTTTTTCTTTTTTCTTTTCTTTTTCCCAATTATTTCATATAATTTCTTTTATCTTTATTTCCTTTTCTGTCTCTATCTATATCTATCTATATTTATCTATCTATCTTACTTTCTTTCTTTCTAAGTGTACGCGTGTGTATATATATTTCTTGTTTCTTTCTGTATATTTAATATATTTCCTTTTATCTTCTTTATCTTTTTAATTTATGTCTCGATGAAGACGGTGGCAACGGCGGCAACATTCACGAGGACGTTCTTCCTCCGCTCCTTCAATCGAATACATTTAAAAAGTTAAGGTAAGGAAAAAAATGTGCTAAAGTATAAAGAGTATAAAAGTGAATAGGGAAGAGAGAAAGAGAAAGGTTGGAACGGCAAGATCTGTCGAACAAAGGCAAAGGAATACGTTGGTTATTTCTTGTTTCTCTTTGAAACAACCGGTTCCCTCCTTTCCACAGTTTTTTACTCGAAAACGAGCGTAGTTTTAATGGAACCCAAAGGAGAAACGACACCACCACGACGAAAATGACAACAACAACGACGACGACGACGACGACGGCTCGAAAGACCGACGAACGGAAAGGAAAAGGAACAAACTTATATCACATGAGATCATCTCATCTGTTGACCGACAGAAAGGTCCACGGCCTCTCACGACGTGTTTTTCTGCGTGTGAGCAAGTACGAGACAGACAGATAGATAGAGAGAGAGAGAGAGAGAGAGAGAGAAAGAGAGAGAGAGGGAGAGAGGGAGAGAGAACGATGAGGGCAAACGCGCGCACGCACACGGCCGTCACTCGTTTCACGCCCCGAATCTTCGCGAGGGTTCCTTTGTGTTTCTTCGATTGATCGTAACTAACTACACCATTTCAACGAAGTGAACAAGGACGCGCTTAGGGTATAAAGAAAAAAAAAACTAACTGCCACAATTCATTTGTTCTCTTTTCTTTTTTTTTTATATATATATATATTCCGAAGAGCACTATCTCTTCTTTTATTTCCCCTTTCCTCTTCGAACGGTTAAATTCGTACTCTATTTCTCAAGATATAACCTCAAAAATTCGATACTCCTCCTTCTTCTTCTTCCATCTCTTTTTTCTTTCTCTTCTTTTCTTTCTACCTCGAAGATACGTGTACCGTGAAAAACGAGTTTTTAAACGAAGACGAAGACGAAGCAACGACGACGAAGACGACGAACGAGACGACACAACAGCAACAACAAGCAACAGCGGCAATAAAAATGAAAAGAACAATCGATTTTTAATTCCCTATTCGCGATAACAGCAAAAATCGAGTTAAACTATTTTATTACGAGGCGTGTTCGATCGTATAGGAAAACTCTGGGTACTTTGGGCGTCGAGTAAAGAGCCACCGTCGCGACGCTCTGCGAGTAAAATGCATTTAACAGTAGCAGCAGTAGCAGCAGCAGCAGCAGCAGTAGCAGTAGGAGAAGTAACAACAGCTGCGAGGAAGGAGAGACGATTTTGTGCGGCGAGCTGCTTTTCCGGACATCTGCTTTTTCCGTTCGTGAAAATGCATTGACGCGTCGCAAAACAGAAAGAATAAAAAGATAAGGGAGAGAAACAGAGAGGAAGAGAGAGAAAGGCAAAGAGAGAGAGAGAGAGAGAGAGAGAGAGAACGTTCACGGCAAGACACAGCACGGATCAGCTGCTCGTCAAAACAAAGCACTCGCGCACTCGGCGCGTTCTGATATTCTCTTTCTCTCTTTAGCTTATTCTTTCCCCTTCTCTTTTCCTCTCTCTCTTTCTCTCTTTCAATCTCCACACGTTTGATTCTTCCTTTCGCTTCCACCACTCTTCCAGTCTATATGTACAAATGTATATATATATATATATATCTTTCTTTTTCTCACGTCAAGCTTCGTCTTCTTTTCGTATCGTTTACTATCTCGTTTAGGACGATTGCTCGACACAAAAATGATTTCTGTTTAGATAATAGGGTCGATACGAAGACGAGGACAACGACGAGGACAACGACGACGACGACGACGACTACGACGACGAGGAAGAGGATGACAACTATGATGGGACAACATATCACGCAACGTACAACATAACAAATCGGAGCTGCGCCATCGAACGGAAAACGTATGCGCGCGCGATGCCAATCATGGAACAAAGGGGCTTCACTCGCGCCCTTTTTTACGATTCACCGAGGGCGATTCTCTCCCTCTCTCTCTTTCTCTCTCTCTCACACATACACACACACTCACACACGCACTCACTCACTCACTCACTCACTCACTCACTCATTTACTCACTTACTCCTTTCTTTGCTTTGTCCATTTTCCTTTTTTAATCGTCGACTTGTATGTCGCACTCCGTTTCTCGTTTACTCTTTCTCTTTCTCTTTAACTCCTTTCGTCTTTTGTTTTGTCGCGATTCACAATAAAAATTACACAATTTTCTTCTTACCAAAAGGGAACACTTACATGCATACTCGAATTCTCTTTATTTATCTTCGTGATTGCTTGTGCTGCTAATCTATTAATTCACGTCACTATTCCAGCACAAGCGCACTCCTAGACAAATCTTTCGCGATTACGCGCACACCGAACGCTCGACCGAACTGTCAGAGACTGGAGACTGTTCCTCTGCTTTACAATGCTACGCTAGTACGAATATGAGTGAGAGAGAGAGAGAGAGAGAGAGAGAGAGAGAGAAAGAAATACTTGTTTCGATGGAGGGGGTGGAAAGTCGAAGGAGAAGAAAGAGGGAGAAGAGGACTAGCTCAGCTCACCGCTACTATCATCGTTGTTAGCGTTTCCCTCTGACGCATCGAGTCGCCAGCTGTTCTTTGTCGGCAATGCGATTACGCACGGGCACGGCGAATGGAAGGTCCGTTCCTGCACACCGATTGGTCAATCCTACTTGCTCCGTCGCTAGCGCTCACTACGCACGCGACGACAACGCCATCTTCAACATCAGCGCCTCGAATCAGACAACGAAAACAAAAATATATAGAACGAAGATGGATGATGTCTGTGATTCGACCAATAAGAGATTAAAAATAACGGTGATAATATTTTACTTGTATTAATCGCATGGATTTCGATATATATATATATATATATACATATTATATTTTTATATGAGAACGGATTAACCTTCTTTTATTGAAATTAATTTTCTCGACTTCGAATGACCCTAATCGATTTTTTCGAAACGTTTTTCGTAACGTGTGTTCCTCTACCTCGTCAGGTCTAAACTTGTTTGAACGATGTATCGATCCTTTTTATTCTATCTTATCTACCATAATATATATATATATATATTTTTTTTTTCTTTTAATATATAGCGAAAGAGAAAAGGGGTTATTGTAGGGCCATCGGTCTTATACACTTATCGACATAATTATATTGTGCCTTTCCTTCGAAAAATAGCATTCATGTTTATCAATCTAGACAATGATCCTGTTTTTATTGTTTCCTTTTTCTTTTTTGTTTTCTTTTTTTTGTCATTCTTTTCATATAAGTTCTTTCTTACTTTCGACATGACGAGGCTAAAAACGAATGTGTAATATTTGATAAATTTTTATTTTCTAAATTAAAGAGAGATAATGAAGTATTTATAAGAAGGAGATTAATGATCTTTTTGACACGATGATAAAATTTTGGAATTATTTTTACAAACTTCTTGTTACACCAATAATAGATATTAAAGACGTTCGGGCCATTCCTTTTAGACGGGTGGATGCTAATGGACGCCATTAATTCAACGTCACTAATTCAGTCTCGTCTTTAGTCGACATTCTGTTTTATAGAAATTCACGTGCAATTAGTAATATCGATGGTATTATCATCGTATATAATTATCATCTCGTTTTGTTACTGCAAAACTTTTTCTTTTCCGCTATTCATAGATTGTTTTCCGAATGAAAACAAAATTTCGATCGTTCGTTCGACCGAATGATCGTATGCAAATGCATCCTTATAGTATATATATATATATATATATATATATATATATATATATATATATATATATATATGTATATATATATGGTCGTAGATATGTCGAGTATGAAGAATTTTTCGACATTAATGCACGTTTCTGATTGGCCAGACTTCGCCATCAGGGACGCTGTACTCGACCGTTTTCGCGCCTGATGCTTCGATTCTACGATTCATCACAGCACAATAGTATCTCTGTTTTACTTTTTGCGAAATATCCCATATCTGAGCCAATAATATGAAGGTAACAAATTCCTTTTGCATGTGGTCATAAGTATCGTATAGCTCGATTCTGATTCGTAAATAAACTCTCTAATCCTTATTAGAGAGAAAACAAATTCTTTTTAAAGGTAAAAAGAATGTTTTCTCTCAATATTTTACTAAAATCCAGAAAGTATGAGTAACAGTGAATTATGAGATCATATAAAATATGATTATAACTATTTGAAGTATTTAATTCTCATATTATTATTTGCATAAAAGAAAATAATCCATAAGAATATCGTTATCTAATCACTTGTAAATTAAAATGTACCTCGTAGTATAGATGTTTGAGGAAAAGAAGGGAGAAATATGACGGGGGTAGATACACCAGCCAGTCCAGTTGAAAAGCGATTAGACGTGCAGGAGTGCTGCCATCTTGCGCATGCGCGGAGAGGTAACGTCTTGTGTCAACGTTCCGTTCACTGGGCGTAGCTTCGTTTTGTCTTACACGTACGAAGGTTATATCGTAGGTAGGAAGAACGTGTGAATAGTTGATGAACTAATGGTGGGGAGAAGGGGGAGGGGGAAGTTTCGATTTAAGTAGCACGAAAATGTAAGGTACGCAAGGTCTGGTTGTTTCTTCTGTTCTCCCTCTGGCCCCTCACGGCTCTATTTTATTGATCACTTTCTCAATTAAGCCTTGGAAACAATAAAACGCTGGACTTTGTTAAAAATCATTCGCTTCCTTTTCAGTTTTACGTATGCTGAATGATACATTATATTTTCTATACTCTTCTTTTTCTTTTTTTCATTTGAATGATGTAACAATAGTCGACCGAAAATATGCTTAATAGATGTAAAATAGATTTCTACGTGTATGAGTCATTGAATTTTTAACAAACTAACACCTTCTTCCGATAAGACGTGCCAAGTTCTTGGAAAATTTTCAACGTCGCACATTATTGTAGTTTATTTTGCCAATCGTTGTTTCGTTGGACTTGACGCGCATTATCGTTTCGTAAATCGTTCTACCGAAAAAATTTATTAACTCGTTTACCCTTGATATTTTTATACGAATCGTGCACGTGATATTTGCGTAGCACTTTGGTGATATTCAAAATAGACGATACTAATCGTAAAATTTATTTGGAAAAACTGTCTAGGATAATTTTAATAAACCCACGAAGTATTTCCGTTACGCATTCACGATGGGGATACGAAACTCGCCACATTTGTTTACCATACGACGAGAGACGATATTTTCGAAACAGAAAGGAAGAGAGAGAGTGAGAGAGAGAGAGAGAGAGAGAGAGAGTGCTCCAAAAAAAAAATTCTGAAACTTAAACCGAAGTAATCGGCCGCTTTCGATGTTTCTCTTTCCACTATTTTGCTTTTTTTATACCTCGTTTTTATGATCGATCGATCATGATCACCTTGAAATGAGATTTCTCGTCAAGAAAATAAACAGACCTATATTATGGCAAGCAAATATAAGTTAATACGGAATTCGTTAACGTCCTACTTGATTACATCATGCTGCGTTGACATTTAGTACGGTGAACGAACGAAAAGACGCTCTCGCGAAATTGCGTCGCGATATCACAATTGAGATAATCAAAACGTTCCTCGTGCGATTCCGACGTTCGAATTGAGAATTGTAACGACTTATCCGATGTCATCGCTCTTGTTAAAATTTAAGATAAGAGAACGCGAGAACGAATAATCAAAACAAGTTTATTAGTTTTGTCTGCGACGACTAACATCGCGATGATAAAAATATTTTCCAAAAAAATTTACTTTTTGCGTCTTAACGTATATACGTATACGTGTAACATACAAACTCTTATATGTATAGATATGTATATCGTCTCTTTGAACTTTTCGGTATTTTTTTTTATTTTCTTTTCCTTTTTTTTTTCTTTTTTTTTTTTTTTTTCTTTTTTTTTTCTTTTACGGAATATAGGTTACTCATATAACGTGTACGCTTATATAAAATTAAAACGATAGACGATAATGAGAAAATAAGGAAGAAAAATATTTATTATTTCTTTCTTTAGCTTTTTTTTTTCTATTTTCATCAACCAAATATCGAACTACAAAGTGTGTACTGAATTTTCGAATTTTAGTACGTTTACGTTGTTTGAATATAACAAAGAAAGGCACTATACACAGATTGAATACTTTCGACTTTTTTTTCCCTCATATCGTTTATCGTTATTCACATATAAGCATAGTCGAGAAACAACGTTAATTAACATGTAATCTTTTTTTAATTGATCTTTTGCGAATTGTTACAAGAAATCGAAAAGAAACGCTATTAACTGCCTTGAGCAGAGATTTATTATAGCTATTAGTATGTTTCCAGGTAGGATGCCATTAAATCGTCTAATACTAGAATATAATAGTTATCAAAGAGGAATGATTTATTGTATTTTAATTTATGATCTGTTTGGATTCAAACAGAATTGTTCTTACTTCGTCGCATTGGTGTCATTGAAAAAGAAATAAAAATTCAATATCCTAGGTCGATATTGCTTTTCTCCTTTCGAGAATCTTATTTTTCGCGTTTCGTTCGATGCCCGTGATGAATAAACAGACGATGGAACACGATTTAACGCATACATATCTGAGAAAGAGAGAGAGAGAAAGAGAGACGAATGAATCAATCGACATTTCTTTTTTTTCACCGTACCTTTTTCTTTTTCTCTTCTCGGTATTTACAACTTGATATCAATAGTTTTAGAGAAAGATGCAGAAAATTTATAAAGGAAACCGTTCTTCGTTCTCATCGAAAGGAACGATATGTTTAAAAAATATTTTTCTCTTGTACAAATATGTATGTACTTACGTATCATGCGTAGAATGAATTATCGATCAATTGTCTGTGAAAACGATGCGTTGTGAATTTTAAATATTACAATGAATTCACCTCGCATACATATATATATATATACACATACAATGTATTTATTATTATACGTAGATGGCATTGTTAAAAAATATTTTCAAATGACTTTTCCCCGTTTACGACGATGCTAGAACGTAAATCGTTTAAGCGTGTACGTGTGAGTGAGCACGAGTAAACATACCTGCGACATTTTATTACGGTAATGGTATTTTGCGGTTAAATGATCAAAAACGATGTTTAAATGTTACTGCTAACGTTTTCAATATGTTAATTAATATTAAACCACTCACGTGTCGAATTCGAAGTCGAGTGATCAAAAATACGAATAAAATGTATATATATATATATATATATATATATATATGTACACACATATGTATATGTGATAGAAGCTTTTCGTATATCTAACGGTAAAGCAACTTGTTAAATTTCTCGTAAAACTGTACAACATTATGTGAATATTACTCGTGAGACAAAGCAAAAAAGAGAGAAAGAAAAATGCTTATCACAATGAGTCATGGCTACGATTTTCTAATGACCGATGACGTCACTGAGATTTTCAGTATATCATACGTCAGGTGTCAACGGGGTATCAGAAATGATAAATAGTATAGTCTTTTCCGTTTTTTACGTGCTCCTCGAGGTCTCCTTGATGAATGAAAGAAATGATTTAATAATTGATACGATTTAATCCTAATAAAATAATAATATCTTCGTCATTTTTATTTTCTCCTTTATTTTTCTTTTAATCGTCGAATCGATAATCGTTTCGTCATCGACGTAAATTTAACGTCGACGAAGCAACGCTTTAATATAGATAACTTCAATTCATGACAAATGAAAATTAGATATACTTGGGGTCATACCACTTTAGCCAATTCGCCCTAGGATATATTAGCTCGGTTGGAGATCATTAACGATCATCGTTTTCCCCCTCGTGAAAATACATTC